GAGGGAGGAAGAGAAAGGGAGGTATAGAGCTACCAAATGTAGAACAGCAAAGTCCTCTGATGTCCAGCAATGGAGTTCACCAGGTCATGTTTGGGGAGATCTCAGGGCTGCAGTTCATCCAAACTCCTATTACACTCTTTTTTTTGATGGGGGAAGGGGATGAATCTTGAAATTGAATCACAAGTAGTCTATTGGATTTTCTGGGGAAAAAAAGGTATTTGAAGAAGGGTACACACAGTCCATGTTCTCAGCAGTGAGTGAGAGCCATCATCTTCTTGGTCCACTGCTCACACCTGCAGCATCCATCTGGCTTTGGTCAGCTTGCCTCCCCCACACACCTCCCCTGGCTTGGGGGTTTCAGTCCCAGTCCTTGGAAGGAGGGGGAGCTTTTTCACATAGGGGTTTCATGCCTCAGTCCTTGAGGGAGAGGCTTCTCCCATCTCAGTCCTTGGAAGGAGGGGGAGCTTTTCCACATAGGGGTTTCATGCCTCAGTTCTTGAGGGAGAGGCTTCTCCCATCTCAGTCCATCTGTCATGGTGGTTGTAAAACAGGTGAGGGTCTTCTCTGGGGACCACCAAAAACCTCAGGAGAAGTCCAGCCAAGCCAAGAGGTGGGGAACTTGCAGGGCTATTGTTGCAAAAAGGGCAGTGCCCCTTTGTTCCTTTCACTAGCCCAGTGTAGCATACAGCAAACACATCTGTGAACAATAGCTTAGCAATGCCAGGGGCTGTGCTCAGGCCTCAGGGCCTTAGGAAGTGACTTTCTCTAACAAGACCAAAATTTCAGACAGGGTCCTTTTCCCTCACTGCTCCCAATCTCTGTCCCTTTTATGACAATCGTGAGGCAGATGAGGGAAACTTTGGACAGAGACTCACAGGTCCCTACCATAGTGGGGAGCCCTGTTGGTGTCAGGTCCTCTCTTTCTGGGGCTGTGGGGCTCGTTGTGTGCAGGTCCCTCACCCCTCACTGGTTTCTCCCTGCCCTTTCCAGACCGACGGAGCGTCAGCCATGCTGATCATGTCTGAGGAGAAGGCCCTGGCCATGGGCTACAAACCAAAGGCCTACCTAAGGTAGGAGGGGCTGCTCCAGTGGCCTCTGCTCCTGCTTCCTTCTCCTCTCCCTGGCACTGACAGCCCCTTTTCCTGCACAGGGATTTTGTGTACGTGTCCCAGGATCCCAAGGACCAGCTGCTCCTGGGGTAGGTGGAGATGGAGAGCATCCCCTCCCACAACAGCCTTCTCCTGCCATGAGGTGGTTTTGGGAATGTTGAATCTCTCCAGGCCTTCACGAGGTGGGAGAGCAGCAGTGGCAGGAACACCCCAGGATTGCTGGGGCACCTCAGCAAGAGTTCTGGGGGCCGTGCCTCCCTTGGACAGGGATGGGCCATGAGCCCAGAGAGGAGGATGTGACTGTGGAAAAGGGAGGCTGGGGCTCACAGGGAACACAGATGCAAGACTGGTGTGTCTTCCCTCCTTCAGCCCCACCTATGCCACTCCCAAAGTGCTGGAGAAGGCCGGGCTCAGCCTGAGTGACATCGATGTGTTTGAGTTCCACGAGGCCTTTGCTGTGAGTGCTCTAAAGCTGGGGTGGCTCCCTGCAGCCATCTGCCTTGGCTTATTCCCAATTCCCACCCTCTCCTCCCTTGCAGGGCCAGATCCTGGCTAACCTGAAAGCCATGGATTCAGATTGGTTTGCAAAGAACTACATGGGCAGGAAGTCAAAGGTAAGGGACACTCAGGACATTTTCCTCCTTGTCCTGCCCCTCCAGGCCCTTGTCCCCTCTGCAGCTCTCCTGGAGCCCCTTCAGGCCCTGCCAGGGGCTCTGAGCTCTCCCTGGATCCTTTTCCTCTCCAGGTGAGCACCCCCAGCTCTCCCAGCCTGGCTCCAGCCCTGGAGCAGCTCTGGGATCTCCTCTGGACCCACTTTTCTCTCCAATTCAGTGAAACTTTGGGGTTCCTGGGCTCCCTCCTGCCGGTGCTGGTGCTGCACAGCTGGGCTCTGGCTCTGTGCTGTGAGGAGCAGTGATGCTCCTTGAGCTTGGCTTAGCAAATCCCAGTTTATGCAGTTTCTCTGGGACATGAGGAGGTTTCCTTGGGATGCTGTTCCCGTTGTCGGCAGGAGGTGGAGATCCAGAGCCACAATCCCTGTAGAGGAGGGTGGGGAGGACAGCGAGAGGGGCTCAGTCCTTGCACAGTGCAGGGCTCCCCTGAGGGCTGCAGGTGAAGCAGGAGCTGCTTTGGGATGGTTTCATCCCCTCATCAGCCATCCTGAGCTGCTTTAGGCTGGGGGTTGGGATTGGGGGGGATGAGGTGTCACCCTCTCCAGCCAGGTGACATGGGGTGTGTCCCTCTGTGTCCCTGCAGGTTGGAGCCCCTCCCCTGGACAAGTTCAACACCTGGGGGGGCTCCCTGTCCCTGGGACACCCATTTGGGGCCACTGGCTGCCGCCTGGTCATCACTGCTGCCCACAGGCTGAAGAAGGAGGGGGGCCAGTACGGCCTGGTGGCTGCCTGTGCTGCAGGAGGGCAGGTAATGGTGCTGTGCCCCAGCCTGGGGAGAGGGAGGAACCTTGGGAGAGGGCAGGAGCAGCAGGGCTGATCCTGCTGGGACTCTGCAATCCTGCCTGCTGAGCCCAGCTCTGGGTGCTGCGTGTTCAGAGCTCCCTCAGGCACCTCTGGCTGCCCCCAGCACCACTCAGTCCTGTCCCTGTTCCCTGGGAGCAGAGCCTGACTCCCACCCCTGGCTGTGCCCTCCTGGCAGAGACTTGTGCAGAGCCACAAGGGCCCCCTGAGCCTCCTTTGCTCCAGGCTGAGCCCCTGCCCAGCTCCCTCAGCCCCTCCTGGGGCTCCATTCCCTGCCCAGCTCCCTCAGCCCCTCCTGGGGCTCCATTCCCTGCCCAGCTCCCTCAGCCCCTGCTGGGGCTCCATTCCCTGCCCAGCTCCCCCAGCCCCTCCTGGGGCTCCATTCCCTGCCCAGCTCCCTCAGCCCCTCCTGGGGCTCCATTCCCTTCCCAGCTCCCTCAGCCCCTCCTGGGGCTCCATTCCCTGCCCAGCTCCAGCCCCTGCAGGTCTCTTGTGTCAGGAGGGGCCCAGAGCTGCCCCCAGCACTGGAGGTGCCCCAGCAGTGCCAGCACAGGGGACGGGCACTGCCCTGGCCCTGCTCCACCCCAGAGCTGGCACAGCCCAGGGGCCAGTGGCCTCTGGCACATCTGGGCACACCTGGGCTCGTGTCCAGCTGCTGTGGCTCATGTTCTTGATGGGAGTCTGTGCCAGCAGTAATTAGCCCTGTCTCTGTTAATGAGCCATTTGTGTGATGTTTTGTCTCTGTCTGTTGCCAGGGTCACGCGATGATCGTGGAGCTCTACCCCCAGTAACAGCCCTGGCAGTGCTGTGCCTCCACCCTGTGCCTGGTGATGCCATTTCAATGCACTAATAAATCCTACACCCAATCCTTCTTGGAGAGGGGATTTGTGGCCTTTGTCAATCCCTTTTAGCTACTCAGCCAGTAATTTTTATCTAATGAGCACGCTCTATTCCACTTCCAGGAGAGGAGCAGTTAACACAGCTCTGAGTCTCTGCAGGCTCCTTGTAACTGTCTGATCCCTCTGGTAACCCTTCAGGATTTCTCCCACGGGGGAACAAAAGTTATTCCAAAGCTCTGGATGGAGAATTAAGTTTGGAGATCAGGAGCATGTGAAGCAGTGGAGGTGGAGGGGCTGAGAGGGGAGGTAATGCTGTGGGGAGGAGCAGCTCAGTGGGGCAGCAGGGGCAGTCCCAGGGGCTGAGCTGGGCTCTGAGGGGGCACTTTGCTCCACGCTGTCCAAGTGCTGTTGGAATGAGCAAATTGCATCTGACGAATGAATGTCACTGATGGAACTGCAATAAATCAGGACAAAACCCACTTCTGGCTGTTTTCTTTCCCTCCCTTCACCTGAAATGCTTTGGGGACTGTTCCTGTGGTGGAGGCTGTGAGCTCCAGGTGTTGGATCTCTGAAATCATGGAATCACAGCTGGTGTGGGCAGGGGCTTGGAGATGTCCCCTAATCCAGCCCCTGCCATGGCAGGGACACCTCCCACTGTCCCAGGGTGTGCCAGTGTCCAGCCTGGCCTTGGGCACTGCCAGGGATCCAGGCTGGGCACCCTGTGCCAGGGCCTGCCCACCCTGCCAGGGCACAATTCCCAATTCCCAATTTCCCCTCCAGCCCTGCCCTGTGGCACTGGAGCCATTCCCTGGCTCCTGTCCCTGCAGGCCTTGTCCCCAGTCCCTCTGCAGCTCTCCTGGAGCCCCTTCAGGCCCTGGCAGTGGCTCTAAGGAGTTGACAAACTTCAAATGTGCAGGGCTGTCCTTCTCCCGAGCATTGGGAAGATGAGATTTTTGTTCTTTTGTTTAATTTCCTCGTTATTTTCTTCACTTCTTCCTCGTGGCTTCACCATGCTGAGGGTGGCTGCTCTGACCTGCCAGGGAGCAGAGTTTCTCCTAAATCACCTCACAAACACCTTTGAGTCCTTTTTCTGACAGAAGCAGTTTCTGCCACCCACCAGCTGCTGCCTGGCCCTGCTCGGCTGAGATAAGGGATGGGTGCAGCACCCGGGCTGTCCTGTTGATTCTTCCTTGGAAATCTTGTGCAAGAGCACTGCTCCAGGGGGAGAGGGGAACTGCCAGGGCCAGAGAAGGGCCGGGGTTGCTTTAGAATCACAAAATCGCTTAGGAAAGAAAAGAAAACTGGGGGAAAACTCCTCATTGAGTCCAGCCACTCCCCCAGCACTGCCGACAGCACCGCTGACCCACCAGTGCCGCATCCACGCGGCTGTGGAATCCCTCCAGGGACGGGCACTCCAGCCGTGCCCTGCCCACCCTGCAGGGGTTATCTGGGGGGCTTTAACCCCCTGCAGGCTGCGGGGGCAGAGCAGCGCCCTGGGCAGCTGCAGGCGGGACTGGCCCGCACACGCTCGGCCGGGCAGGGCTGCAGCCCGTCGGATGTGACTCATCCTGGAGGCTCATCCCGCTCCTCCCCTGCTCCGCCGGTGCCTCTCCTGTGTCCCCGCAGCCTGCGGGACCCTCGCTGCCATCGGCACCATCGAGGCTGAAGCCGCTCCGGTGCGTCCTGTGGAAGGTGCTCAGGGTAGCGGGGTGGGCTGGAGGCAGCGATCCGGGAGGGCTGCGGGAGCCTCGGCAGAGCCCCTGCGCGGCTCCCGGTCCCGATGGAGCCCACTCGAACCCAGCCTGGCCCCGTGCCTCGGCTCCCGGGATGCCCAGGGGTCCCTTGTGCCCGGCGGGGCAGCGCTCGGGGCTGCCGGGCACGCCCGGGGCTGTGCCCGTGGAGCCAGCGCCCGGGCAAAGGTTCCTTTGGCTCTGCTGGGGCTGGGCACGGACCCGGAGCGAGGTAGGAAGAGGGGGGGATAAGAAGGAAGGAGTCAGAGATCCCGGCCGGGCGGTGCCGGTGTCCCCTGCGGGCTCAGGGCACGGCAGAGCCGGGCCGGTGTCACCAGCGCGTCACGGCGGGACGGGCGGGGCGGCCGCCACCCCCGCGAGCAGCCCCTTGTGCTGGGGGGGCACGGGGTGGGTGGCACCGAGGAGGGGACAGTTCCCGGCTGTGTGCCCCCAGCAGGGACCCTGGGATGCCGGTTTGCCAGGGCGGAGGGCTGGGGGGGTTGTGTGGCCGGCAGGATATGGGGGGGCCGATCCAGGCCTCCCCCCGCTGACGGAGCCCCGTTTGCAGGGAGCCAGAACTGCCCCCGTGCCCTGCCCCGGCCCCACATGGACCTCCCGGCGGAGGATGGGGCTGAGGCACCCCAGGAGAGGAGCCCCGAGGCTGAGGTGAGAGTGGGCAGGGGCTGGGGACCCCCCTGGACAGCTGCGGTGGGGGTTCAGGGAACCCCAGTGGTGGAAGAGGGGAGAAATCCATGGATGAGGGTGTGAGACCCCCACAGGTGGCAGTTTGGGAACCCCCATGAATGAAGGGTGTGGGATGCCCACAGGTGGAGGATGGGACACCCCATGGGTAGGTGTTTGGGTATCCAGATATGGGGAGAATGTGAAACACCACAGGAGGAGGTTTGGGGACCTCCATGGGTGGGGATTTCGGGGATCCCCATGGGTGAAGGAGGGGGGGATTCCTACAGGTAGTTATTGATGGATCCCCAGGGGGGAAGGATGGGGGACTCACACAGGCAGGGATTTGGGGACCCCCATGGGTGGGGATTTCAGGGACCCCCATGGGCAGGGGATGAGGGATCCCCATGGGTGAAGGAGGGGGGGATTCCTACGGGTGGATTTGTGGATTTGTGGATCCCCGGGGGTGGAGGATGGGGGACCCGCACAGGCAGGGATTTGGGGACCCCCATGGGCTGAGGACAGGGATGAGGGTGCAGTGCAGGGATGCGACCGAGGGCTGTGCTCGGGCTGGGGCTGGGGACACTGTCACAGAGGTGGCAGCTTGACCCTACAGGTAGTTAGGGTCAGCCAGCTCCCTCTCGTCCCACCCAGGTACCCGAGGGGCCGCGGCGCCCGGCGGGGCAGTGGTCGGGGGCCGAGGCGGGCTCGTGGCTGGCGGCGCACGGCGGGGCCGCGGGGCTGGCCCGGGAGCACGGCCTGACGGGCCGGGCGCTGCTGCTCCTGAGCGAGGGCTCCCTGCGGCGCATGGGGGTCACCCCGCGGAGCCGGCGCCGGGAGCTGCTGCGGGAGCTGCTGCGGCTGCGGCTGCAGCAGGAGGTGCAGGAGCTGCGGAGCCTCGCTGGCGGTGAGCACCCCCCGGGCCCGGGGCAGGGGCTGCGCTCCCCGGGGGATGGTGCTGGGAGAAACGAGGCGCGCTCCTTGTCACAGACACGCTTTGTGAGAAATCCTTGCCTTGGGATTTTTCTCTCCTGAGAAGCTGAGAGGCCTCAGGAACAAAATGCGACCAATGGTTATCTGCTGCTGTGGAATGCAACAGGTGCAGCTGGGATTGGGCTCATGTGGTTGTTTCTAATTAATGGCCAATCACAGCCCAGCTGTCTCGGACTGTCTAGTCAGTCACAAGATTTTATTATCATTCCATTTTCCTTCCTTTCCTTGCAAGCCTTCTGATGAAATCCTTTCTTCTATTCTTTTAGTATAGTTTTAATATAATATATATATATCATAAAAGAATAAATCAGCCTTCTGAAACACAGAGCCAGATCCTCATCTCTTCCCTCTTCTTGGGACCCCTATGAACACCACCACACACTCTTTGAAGATTTTAGAAGTTTAAAAAGGGATAAAAGGGATAAAGCAAAAGTAACAGTGCTGGATGCGCAGCCATAGCCACTTGTACTATTAACTATAACAACTCTCATATATTTTTCATTGCATTGGTCAAATACATATTCACGAGGATTATACATATTCAAAATTCACTTGAGTTTATTTGTTCCTGGAATTCTTTAGCTCAGTTTGACCCCTGACCTCATTGCAGAGTATGTGCCACAATGCAGACGTGATTTTGAGAGTTTTGTATTTTATTTCTTCACAAGGCCCCCTGGTCTGTGGTTTGATAATTATTGATAGCTGAAGGGTCAGTGGTGGATCCCTCCTTGCTCTTTTGGTGTTTTTTGCATGGTTCTTTTCAATGTTATCTTATCATACAGATATTTTAGCCATTTTTACAAGTATTTTCAATCAATATTAGTTATTTCACTATTGTCAGTCATCTACAAAAATAAAAGCATTGGTTATTATTTCACAACTACAATTACTTCTGCAAAAGTTAATGTTATAATACACAGGACAAAGCCTCTATTTTAATATGTTGTGAGAGCCTAAACTATAATATATTTATCACACTAAAATATATAATCTACACAGGGCTTAGGGTATTAAACATAAAAGGCTGAAAAATTATATGAAACGAAATAAATATGAAAATGAATCATAAATATGAAATTATGTTATATGAAAAATAAAAAGCTGATTACAAACAGCACAAAATAATTTGCAAAAGCCAATATGATAGCAAAAGCCAACAGCTACACAGTCATTTACAAGTGTCACCTTCCCCCCTGTCCCCAGAGTGAAGATGATGTCCCTGTGGATGTCCCAGAGCCTGTGGGAGCAGAGGAGATGGCACGTGAGGACAAAGCAGCTGGGACTGAGCAACACATGCAGGAACAGTGCTGGAGGAGCCCCGAGATCACTGTGACCCCCCAAAAATGCAGAGCCCGCCCAGTGCAGGAGCTGATAAGAACAGCAGAACCTTAGAAGCAAAATTTGATCCACGAGGCTGGGCAGTTACCCCAAGCAGAGAGAAAGCAGTCCCAGAACTGATCTTGTGGGAAACAGGGGGTCACAAACACAAAGACACTCATAGGAGTGCTGAAAAGCTTTTGAGACGCTTGCAAAAATCTATGATTGGATCTAAAATGGCTCAGATTGTGCAATCAGGAATCCAACAAAAGTTGGATTTGTTACTTGTTAACTTGTAACTTGTTATTTGTTCTTTGTTAAAGAAACAGCATTAACAAGGCCAACAAAACAATGTTGGGAGCCACAAAACCTGGAAATGTTCTGGGTGAACACTGGCAGATGGATTTTACTGAGTTGCCCAGAGAAGGGGGGGGGTATAAATCCAGAATTATAAAGTTCTGGTGGATACCTTTTCTGGGTGGCCAGAAACCTTCCCTTGTCACACCAACCAGGTTAGGGGAGTGACTAAAGTACTGTCAAATCAAATAAATACAAAAAACCCAAAAAGACAATAAATCAAAAATTGAGGGTACCTTTGGGAATGTCATCAGACACAGATTCCCACGTTATTGCAGAAGTGATACAACAGCTTAGGAAAGCCTTGGGAATAGCTTGGGATCCTCACACTCCTTATAGGCCCCAGGCTAGTGGCAAAGTGGAGGGAGTGAATTATACAATCAAACTGCAATTGGGTAAAATGTGTCAGGAAACCTCCTTGAGCTGGGCCCAAGCCTTACCTGGTGCTCTGCTTCAAAGCAGAATTCAGCTGTGGGGCACCAGCAGAATCAGCCCCTGTGAGCAGCTCTGTGGTCGACCCTAGCAAGTGCCACACTCCAGGAGCCACACATGTTCAAAGGAGGGGTGGATTTGAATAATTACCTCATTTCTCTCAGTAAAACCTTTCAGGATTTGCAGTGGTTGGACACACCAGGGCACGAGTTCCAACCAGGAGATCGGCTCTGTTTGAATGACTGGGGAACTGCTCCACTCCAGCCAAAGTGCAAGGGACCTTTCCAAGCACTGCTGACAACTTTGACTGCATTGAAACCGCACAAAGTAAAATTTTGGATACCATGTTCCAGAATTAAAAGGGCCTAAGCCCCCTGGGAAGAAGTCAAGAGCTTGTCACAAGCTGTTTTACAAAACCAAATGGCACTAGACTTTGTTTTAGCATCACAAGGAGGAATATGGACTGTAATTAACTCCAGTTGCTGTGTATTCACTGACCAAAAAACACTGTAGAGCGTCTACAGATGTAGGAAACTTGGAAACAAACCCAAATTTCCAAACCAACAGCTCAAGATGCCATCTCCTGGAGATTTGAAGAAATTTGGACCAAACGTCCTTCCTGGGTACCCAGCTGGACCTGGTGAAACATCTGTTTATAATCACCACCTTAATAATTGCTGTGTGGTTTTAGCCAGCATCAAGATTCAGTGTTGCAGCTGTTTTAATGCCTTACACTCTGAAAGGAAATAAAAATCTTAAGAGACTGGCTCCCACAAGGAACTTAGGAGCAAGTAGAGGAGGGATTTGATACGGACAGGAGAACAGCACAGCCCTGGAGAAACAGATAAAGGATGTATCACAGGCAAACAGAAGTCATGAAAAATGGAAGCAGGATGACAGCTCAGCTGTGCAAGGCTGACAAAGCAGAAGTTGTGCAAAACAAGGATATTTCCCTTACTCAAAAGCGGGGGTCAAGGAACATCCCCCTAAAAAGGACATGGGATATTAAAGACAGATCCCTAGGAACCACATAAGGACTCCTGGTAAGGGGTGTGACAATGTAAAATAAAGTCAAGTAAGTGGGGATAGCTACTGGATATGCAGTGTGTGTGATAAAAGCTCTGTTCATCCAACACTGCCAGACTTGACTGGAGGAAGTATCCCCCAAATGACCAGGGCTGCAATAAAGAATGGCAGACATGTCCTATGCTACACGTTGAACAACAACTTTTAATCCTTTTCTTCTTATTTTCCTTCTCTAAAGCCAAAACCAAATCTTGGAGAAGACTTCCAACACCCTCAAGTCCACATCTCACCAAAAAAACTTTCACCCCAAACCACCCATCAGCAGTTTCACTTTCACACTGCTGCAGAAAACCACATGATTTACAGAAAAGCAGTAATTGTGGAATCACCGCTCCCATATAAAGGGAAACAGCTCCCTCCAAAGGAGCCAGAGCTGGGTGGGCTGTGCTGGGCTTCACCGAGCACGGGAGCTGCAGGCACCGGAGGGGGAAGGTAGGGGATGGGGATGGAGATGAGAATGGGGACGGAGATGAGAACGGGGACGGGGACGGGGATGGGGATGGGAATGGGGATGGGGATGGGGATGAGGATGAGGATGGGGATAGGGATGGGGATGGGGACGGGGATGGGGATGGGGATGGGGATGGGGACGGGGATGGGGATGGGGACGGGGATGGGGACGGGGATGAGGATGAGGATGAGCTGCGGGGCTGGGAGCCGGGAGCAGCCGGGACCGGGATCTTGTTTCTCTCCTGCCTCCTGTTCCCTGTGCTTTGCCAGGGCAGGGGAGGTGCCAGGGCAGCGGGCGGGCGCTGTGCGCTCCCAGCGTGGGCTGCAGGAAGCCGCCTTTGCTGGCACCGCTTTGGGGAGCTCGGGGGAGCCGTGTGCGCTGCGGGGGCTGAGCCGGGACGGGGCCGGGCAAGGAGCGGCGGGGGAAGGCGGGGAGGGATGCGGGGCATGCGGGGGCACAGGGAAGGCTGCAGAGGCGCAAAGGCTGCCCCGAGAGCCGGCAGCGGGGCCGGCCGGGCACAGGTGCCGAGCGGAGCCCCTGCCCCGCCGCCAGCCCGTGCCCGGCCGGGAAACGCTGCCCGCAGGCGGCGCCGACCCTGCCCGGCCCGGGCACCCCCAGCCCCGCGGTGGGGCCGATGGCTGCGCTCCCCTGAGGGCAGGAGCCGGGGGATCGTTCCTGCTCCTGCCCATGCAGGGAGGGTGGCATTCTGCTCCCTTACAGTCTAAGCATCGCCACCCAGAGCGCTCTGGTCCCTGGGACAGCCCCGCAGAGGCAGCCGTGTTCCCAGAGCCCCTTTCCCTGGGGCAGGGCTGCGCAAAACACTCTCGGGGGGCTGCTCCAGTGAAACGGGGTGCGGGCATTCCCAGGGCAGGTCCTGCTGCCAGCCTTGCTGCTTCCCTCCTTTGCTTCCAAGGAGGAGCTGGATCCCAGTTATGCCCTGAATGTGCTCAGTGCCTCTCTGCGGGCACTGACACCCTCACATGGGGCTTTTCCCTATTCCTGCAGCACTGGGAAGCCGCGCAGGGAGTGCCAAGGGTGCCTGGGGGCAGGTTCAGGGTGTGGCTGGGCTGGAGTTAATGTTGGCCAGTGTCACAGTTAATGTTGTCCAGTGTCACTATGAAAAATCCTTTCCTTAGGACTTTTTCTCCTGAGAAGCCTCAGAGGAAAATAAAAATAATTATTATCTGCTGCTGTGGAATGCAACAAGTGCATCTTTGATTGGTCTCATGTGGTTGTTTCTAATTAATGGCCGATCACAGTCCAGCTGTCTCGGACTGTCTGGTCAGCCACAAGATTTTATTATCATTCCATTTTCCTTCCTTTCCTTGCAAGCCTTCTGATGAAATGCTTTCTTCTAGTCTTTTAGTATAGTTTTAATATAATATATAGCATAAAATAAGAAATAAGCCTGCTGAAGCATGGAGTCAAGAGTCTCACCTCTTCCCATGTCGGGGCTGCCTGCAAACCACCACAGTCCAGGGCAGCCTCTGGCTCCTGAGACTGAACCAGTCCTCACAGTGCTCCAGGGGGACAGAATTTGGGAGGGAACAGGGCTGGGACAAGTGGCTCAAGTGCACGAGCTCCAGCAGTGACCCTGAGCCAGCAGTTCCCATCCTGAGCAGCCGCTCTGCACTGAGGCTCTGCTGCCCAGGGAGCAGCTGGACATGTGCCTGTGAAAAATGTCAATCACTTGTTTTTAGCATTTTAAAAATTTAATAGTGATAAAATGGTTATAAAAATAGTAATGTAATTAGAGTAATAATAATTTGAACAATTGGGATTAGGACAATAGGAGACAATAAAAACAAAGAGTTACAGATGGTCTGGGTACCTTTTTCTGGGCAAAATAAGCCTAAAAAAGGACACCCATTAACAGAGGATTAACCCTTAAAAGTAATAGCGTGTTGCATAGTCATACACCTCATCCATGATGCAAAAACTCCATTCAAACACAGGATTCTGTCCAGTCAGTGTCAACTTCTTCCTCTTAATCTTGATGGCATCTTCAGCACTGAGTGAGGTGGGAAGAAGTTCGTTTCATCTGATAAGCGAGCAATAAATTAATTTTCTCTGAAAGATTCTGGTGTCCTGTGGCTGCTATCTGCTGCGAGTACCTCATTCCTTTCTTGAAAAAAACATCCCACATACACAGTTTCTATTTTAACTACAAAAGTTACATTTTAACTGCAAAGCGACAGCCCACGAGCTGCTGGGGGGGCTCGGTGCCTGCTGGGATCCAAGCCCAGCGCTGCCTCTCCCCGCTCTGCGGGGCCCTGAGCCTCCCCCCAGCAGCAGCTGCGCGATGGGGCAGGGGTGGGACAGGGCCCTGCTGCCCCCCTGGCAGCGCTGCTCCCCTGGCTCTGCCCCCTGCTCGCCTTCTCTGCTGCCCCCAGAGCACAGATGCTCCCTGCACAGCCTCCCACCCATCGGCAGCCCCAAGTCCTTCTCCCCAGGGCTGCTCTCAGACCATTCCCTTCCCAGCAGTGTCTGTGCCTGGAATTGCCCCAGCCCAGGGGCAGCGCCTGCACTTGGCCCTGGTGACCCTCAGGGGCTTTGCTCTGTCCCACCTCTCCAGCATGTCCAGCTTCCTTCTGGTGGGGGAACGTGGATGTAGGTGCCAGGGGAAACCCTGCTCTGCTCACCTCCCCAGAAGAGCCCTGAGCAGTCTTTGCTGCCTGGGCATTTCTCAGTGGAGGAGAAGGGTTGGCCTCCCGTGCTCCCTGGAATGAATCTGCCATGCTCATGGGTTGCCTTCTGCTGACTCTCTGCTCTTCTCCTTTAGGTTTTGGGGCCTTTCCTTCCTGCTGCTCTTCCTCCTGAGTTCTCAAGGGGTTCCCATCTTCTTCTCCACACCCACCGTGTACCCCAGGCCTGCCACTGCCCCTGTGCTGTGTCCCCTGAGCTGGGGCCCTCGGCTGCCCGTGTCTGCTGGGAAGCCAAGGCTGGGAGCAACAGGAGCATCTGCTGTGAGGTGGGTGAGGAGAATCAGAGCCCACAGCCCTTGCACACATTGCCCAAATCTGCAGGGATTCCAGAGGGAAAGCTGCCCCTGAAGGCTCTGGAAGGGTGCCGGAGCCCAGCCCAAGCCCCTGGGATCAGTACCTGAGCTGGTGACAGGGCTGTAGCCTTGGTGGGACAGAAGCTGATTGCTCAGATGGGATTTTTGTAAGGAATAAATCTCTCCAGTATCCAAGTGAACTGAGACTGGGACAATTCTCAGAGTTGTGTGAAAGAGTCAAACACCCAGAGGTTTAAAGGCAGGTGCCCAGTTAAAGGTTTGCAGGCACTTTTCCTCCTGTCACCAGAGATTTTGAACTCAGTGGCTTTGTGGTGGCTGAAGCCAAGACTGCCAGCAAAGGGCACCTGCCTGATGAGACCCTCTGTGCTAACGAGCAGCAGATCACAGAGGGCACCTCTCTGAGTTGAGCCCCAGCATTTCCAGTCACTTCTGATGGGTCACCAGGATGCCCCAGGCACAGCTGAGGGCAGGGACAAGGTGGATTTTTCCCCTGCACTGGGGTGGGCCCCTGAGGGTGTCCGGAAGCAGCAGCTCCTGGGAAGGGGCCAGAGAGGGGCGAGGGAGGGGCTGCGCTGGCAGCTGGAGCAGGAGCACAGCTCAGAGCCCCTGGGGGGCGTGGGGGGAGCGTGTCTGGGGAGTGTGGGGTGCCCATGGGGGGAGTGTGTGAGCGCTGCCTCCGGGTGCTGGGAGCAGCAGGCTGGGCCAGGCAGCCAGCAGGGCAGCCCCGGGCTGGGCAGAGGGTGCAGGATGCAGGCAGGGCTGTTGGATGGGCAGAGGGGCTGTGCCAGGGAGCCAGGATTGCCCCTGGCTGTCTGCACTTGTGGATGGAGGAGTTCTGCTGGGAGGATGTGGGCGATGGTGAAGGCAGCACCTTGTCCAGGACAGGTTGTGTGGCTGAGTGAGTCTGTGTGTCTCTGTGTCTGTGTCTGTGTCTCTGTGTCTGTGTTTGTGTGTCTGTGTTTGTGTTTGTGTCTCTATGTTTGTGTCTCTGTGTGTCTGTGTCTGTTTTTGTGTGTCTGTGTGTCTCTGTGTCTGTGTTTGTGTGTCTGTGTTTGTGTCTCTGGGTGTCTGTGCTGTCTCTAGGGTACACACTCACCTTCAGGGTTGATCCTGCTAACAGGAAAGCAACAGGCACATCCACGGGGCTGGGAAGGGGACCCTGGCTCTGGTGCCATCCCAGGCTTGGCTCCAGCAGCCGGGTGGGAGCAATCCCAAGGGCTGCAGCTGCTGCAGAGCCTCTGCCAGGAGCCTGGGGCCTCTGACAACACCTTAGGGAATGTCTCTGTTCTTCCTCCACAGCCATGGCTTCACAGGACGACGCACAGGAGGAGGATACAAAGACACAGCTCCTGGCAGAGGCATTCCAGAAGGAAGGACTGGATGCTGGATACTGGCTGCCCAAAGTGACACAGATCCTGGGAATCAAGTGCAGAGAAGCCCTGCAACATCTGGAATACGAAGACTACCTCAGGCTGGAGTGTGAGATACAGCACCCCTGGGAGAAAAAGGCACTCCAGAAACTCCTGAAAATAAAAGATGACAAAACGACCATTAAAGAGGTGCAGAAGGAGCACTTGGAGAAGACAAAGCAAAGACAGGAAGAGGCCAAACAAGCTCTGAAGGATCTGACAGAAATGCTCAACAGCCGCAGCCACAGCCAGGATGCTCTGAGGGAGAAAGCAGAGACTCTGTGGCAAGCCATGGAGATTCCCAAAGAGTTCTGGCCACCGCCAAAGAAACCCTTGGCAGATATGCTGGAGAGCATCCAGAAGCAGCTGGAGCAGCAGGAGCAGTCAGCAGGCAGGAGGGAGAACATCCCTGACACGGAGGTGCTGAGGCGGGCGTCAGGGGGACTGGCCCTGCAGGGCATCTACAGAACCAGCAGACCTGAAGATGTGCTGGCAAAGCGAGAGCAGCTCCTCAGGGTTCCTGAGGGATTCCAGCTCGCCGGTCCCGAGCAAGGATCGCTGCTTGAGAGGAAGGAGTTCTCCTCCTCTGCAGCAGAATCCACTTTCACCAAGTCCATGGAGCAGCTGGGGTTCAGCATGAGCGTTTCTGCCAAATCCTCATTCTGGGGGATTAATCTGGTAGGGAGTGTAGATCACAGCAGCTCCTCACAGTCACAGGACACCCACCAGTCCCGCTCTGAGCAGAGCTACTTTTGCACCACCAAGTACCAGTACATCCCTCTGGCCTCCTGCTACTTCCAAAGGCATCAGCTTCGCCTCTCGGATGCCGCTCTGCGGGAGCTGCAAGACATGGAGCAGCTTTTGAGCTTCAGTCAGGAAGAAGACAGCCCCACCTTGGTGAAGATATGTGAGAGCTTCTTCAGCAGGTTTGGGTCCCACATAAACCAGGGTCCCCTCCACTTTGGGGGGATATTCTGGTGGAAGGCGTCTACAGAAGGATTCCGGGCTGAGCAGCGCGAAGAGGTGAAGCGACAAACGTCTGAAGCACTGAACAGCTTTGTTGGGGCCAGCTGGGGTGGCTTTGGGGCCAGTGTAGAAGGGACCCTGGATGTTTCCAAATCCAGCTCACAGGCTTCTGTCATGGGGAGAGCTGCAGAGAGTTCTCATACAGCAATTCAGCTCTACGTGGTCAACACAGGGGGCCCAGCAGACACAGCTTCCCTTCCTCAGTGGAAAACGGGGCTCATGTCTGATAACACAACGTGGTGCGTTATCGACCGTGGCTTTGAGCTGATCCCAGTGTGGGACATTATCCTGTGCAATCACTGTGGAGATTTTAAGTCTGTTGGTCAGATGAGCAGAGCCCTCACAGCTGGGTACAAAGCACTGACGAATCAGAGCCTTGGCATGACTTTTGGAGAGGAACTGGGCAGTGCAGTGCAAGAGGCCAGAGATTTCATGGGGACTGTGAAGGCCTGGGAGGTGACAGTGGATGAAGAGAAGCTGTTCATGCTGATGGAGCTAAAAGATGATCTGAGTGCAAAAACCAGGAACCCCAGTGTGTGGATCAATGTGTGCCTGTCAGACAAAGCCCTGCAGGACTTCCTGGTGAACACCGTGCGGAGCTGCCAGGAGTCACCTCCAGAAAACACCACCACTATCAAGGTAATGTTGAGGAGCCTCCTGAATCCTCATATCTACTCTGTCAAGGACTTCCCTGAGGCTTCCTTCATTATGCAATGGGTCTTCCAGACTGAGCACCCGCTTCCCAGATTTCCCAAAGTCTCTGAGCTTCAAGAGCTCATCAAAACACTGCAGCAAATGAAGGAGCACATCCATGCTGTCACCTACGCACCAGGAAGCTCTGCTCCTGACGTTCATGAAGCAAAGATAGAAGCCACCCTGACCAGCAGCCTGGCCATTTATTCCTTACTCCAGTCTCTCCAGGAACAGGCTCAGAAGGACATGGAACTGTTGGTGCTCTTGATTGTGACCAGCACAGGCTACCAGGTGAAAAGCAGCAATTTTCAGCACCTCCTTGGACACCCAGAAATTCAGTACATGGCCAAGGAAATGGAAGCAGCACATGAGGAGTACATGAACCTGAAGGAGCAAGATGCGGACAGAGCTGAGGCATTCCTCCTGCTGACAGGTCTGACTGTGACACCAGAATGTCAAAAGCTGTCCCCTGAGCAGAAAAGGGAGCATTTAGTTTTCATGGAAGATCACATGAAAGGCTTGTGGTCCCCACGGATAAAGAATCTCCTCCAAAAGCACAGTGGAGGCGAAGACTGGGAGAGGCTGGAACGTGACTTGGACTCCTTGATCAGTGGGTGCTTGGATGAGAAATGGGATGAACAGAGGATGCAGAACATACTCAGCGACCTGGAAGACACTTTTCCAAAACCAGAGCCCCCCAGTCAGTCCCAGTCCAAGTCAGACAGCAGTGAATCCAAAGAAAGTGAAGCCATTGCAAACCAGGAGTTCCTCCAGTTGCTCAAGCGCCTTGGACTGGAAAGTCACTATCCAAGGAAAATGGGCATGGGAGATTTCCGCACCATCTGCAAGACATCTCTGCAGGACGGCCCGCCCAGCCAGGACAAGGAACTGCCATTGTACTTCTTGCACAAGCTGTTAACTGTGGATTACCAGGTGAGATACCTGACCTGCTGGGAAAGGAGCAATCCAGGCCTTGCACCCATGCCACAAAGCAGCGAGCAAGAGAACCAACAATCAGATTCCTTTGAAAACTTTCTTGATAAGCTGATGGAAGCAGCTCCTAAATGTGCAAGCAGGGACAGCCATGTGCACCCCATGGACCTGCAGATGGCTGTTTTCCATTGTGCTGATGACTTCCTGAGACAGTCCCTGGCAACCAAGCTGGCGTTCTGCCAACTGGCGCTGCCTCTCCTGGTGCCCAACCCGAGCACTTCATGCATCGAGTTCCCGCTCTACGCCCTCAGCCAAATCCAAAGGAGCTGGAAAGAGGTGGACAAGTCAGGAAAGCAGGCCCAAGCAAAGAGTTTCAGCAACAAACTCATCTTTCAGGCACAGACACCCATCGTGTCCTTCATTCGCATTGGCAGCTCGGCCTCCTCTTCCAAGTCCCAGCTCCTGAATGCTCTGCTCAGCAAACGCAAACACGACACTTTCTTCCACCGCCACTGCAGAGGCAGCACCAGAGAGCGTCTGCTGATGGAAGGGCTGGTGGAGATCGCCTGGTACTGCCCCGGTGGAAGCCCCAATGACACCTTTGAGCGCTGCGTGGCTTTCTGTAACCTGCGTGGAGACGCCAGGGATCACGGAGCACAGCTGCAGTTCCTGCAGGAGATATCTGCTGTCAACGTGGCTCTCGTGTCCGATTGGGAGCACATGGACAACAGGGCGAAAAAGCTTCTGCAGGGCCTGTGGCAGTCACAAAGGCCTTTGGTTTGTCTTCTCACAGAAAAAGAGAACACTGCAGCTGGACAAGCCAGCAAAACCATAACAATAGGGATCAAGAACAGAAACGAAGCAGAACTGATGGATGAGCTGACCAAGACAATTGGGGATCTCCTGGAAGGTTCTAATCCATGTTTCAGTCTGGAGGCCTGTGTGGACAAAGCTCGCCAGCACGGATTTGTAGTGGATGCAGATCAACCCGCGTGTGTGACAGCCAAAGCAAAGGCAAAGGAGCTGGTGGAGCTTCTGAAGAAAGAGAAGCTGTCTGAGATCAAATCCAAGCTGCTGCCACTTCAAGGAAAACTGTGGTACCAGTGGTGCCAAAAGGACAAAGAACTCACTCGCTTGCAGGAGAAGAGGAACAAGAGCGTTGAGCATCATCGGAGCCAAATTGAAAATGAGAAGAAAGCAATAAGAAGAAAGCAACTTGAGCGAGCTTCCCCTCTCAACCCACTGATGAAATCATTCCTTGGCTTTCTCCAGGCCCAGCCAGCAGATACCAAGAAATACTTCCTGCAGTGGATGAAGGTCTTTATGCACGAGCTGTCTTGTGGTCGCCTTGAAGAACTGAGGAGGGACTATCACGAGTTATGGTCTAAAATCCTGTCAAGAAAGAAAAACAAGAAGAAAACCAGTGGCAATGATGAGATGCTGAGTCGCTTGGATACCCTCTCTGATGAAATCAACGATTCATCCATTGGCCTGGAGCACCTTCTGAGAGAGGTAGGGCAGATTTACGAAGCTCTGGAATTATTGAACTCCAAGAAGGACGATTTTGTCAAACTTCCAGAAATTGCAGTAGAGCTGATGGTTTCAGGGTACCCCGTGGAGCTGATGGATGGGGACGCTTCTTACCTGCCCTTGCGCTGGGTGGGAGCAATCTTTGACAGCTTAATTGAGAGGCTGGGGGACAAACGAGTGTTTGTGCTCTCCGTGCTCGGCATCCAGAGCACAGGCAAGTCCACCCTGCTGAATGCCATGTTTGGTCTGCAGTTCAACGTCAGCGCAGGGAGATGCACTCGTGGAGCCTTCATGCAGCTCATCCCAGTGGGCCAGGAGCTGCAGCAAGACTTGGGCTTTGATTTTGTGCTGGTGGTTGACACAGAGGGACTCCGTGCCATCGAGATGGCCAATAAACAGTCCCTGAACCATGACAACGAGCTGGCCACCTTTGTCATTGGTGTCGGCAACTTGACTGTGATCAATATCTTTGGTGAAAATCCATCAGAAATGCAAGATGTTCTCCAGATCGCTGTGCAGGCTTTCCTGAGGATGAAGAAAGTCAATCTTTCCCCAAGGTGCCTCTTTGTCCACCAAAACATGGGAGAAGCAACTGCCAAGGAGCAGAACATGGAAGGACAAAGGCGCCTGCAGGAAAAGCTGGATGAAATGACCGTGATAGCTGCTCAGCAGGAATTCTGTGACATCTCCTCCTTCAGCGATGTCATTGGCTTTGATGTGAACACCCACATTCACTACTTTGCTCACCTGTGGGAAGGAAACCCCCCAATGGCACCACCCAACCCCAACTACAGCCAGAACGTCCAGCAACTCAAGAGCAAAATCCTCCAGGCTGCCAAGAAGCAGTCACAGAGCAGCATTTTGAGGCTCTCGAGCCTGAAAGATCGTGTTGGTGACCTCTGGAATGCTTTGCTGAATGAAAACTTTGTTTTCAGCTTCAAGAATTCCCTGGAGATTGCTGTGTACAGGAAACTGGAAAATGCCTTTAGTCAGTGGACCTGGATGTTGAGGAAACACATCTTAGATGTACAAATGAGACTGGACAACAAAATTCGGAATGGGGACTTGCAGAATGTCACCAGAGAGTACCTTGAAGGGCTGGTGAAAGAGACAAGTGATGCCATTGAGAAAAAAGTGGAAGAGTATTTCAGGGAAGACAAAGACCGGGAGATACTGGTCCAGTGGAAATCAAGCACAGAGCTGAAGCTGAAAGAACTCAAAGAGACTCTTCTTCATGAAACAAAAAAGAAATGTGAGAATCTCATTGAGCTACAGAAGGAGCAGAAGAAACTGGATGCAAGGAAGTTGGAATACGAAGATGAGCTCCTGAAAAGGAGTTGGGAGCTGGCTGTGACTCTGAAGGGGAAGAGCCTCAGTGAGAGAGAACTGAAGGACAACTTTACTCTTGTCTGGAACGAGTGGATTGCCAAAGTCTCCCGTGCTGCTCGTCCTCCAGAACGGGTGGATATCGATGCAGAAATTGACGATGTCCTTGTAGAGCACTTTAAGGAGCCAGGTATCCATGCACGGATCAAGTCATTTTCCAGAGGCAGAGGATTTTCTTTTGATCCAGAGAAACACATCATGAAGAAAAAGTATTTCGTCTTTTTCACAGATCCCAGGAGCCTTTCCAATGCTGATGTGATCAACTTTCAACACATCACAGACAAGATTATAGCATGTGTGATGGCAAACATTGCTAAGAAGGAGGAGGAGAAACGCGATTACAGTCGAAATTTTATTCATGAAATACTCAATGAAGTACAGAAAGGTGTCAACTCTGTCCCCAGCAATGCAAAATGTACTTTCAACAGAGATTACAGCATAGATTTGTCGATCTATCTGTGCAAAATAGCAGCGGAAAGGTTTAAAGCCATGCACGAAGCATTCCAAAAGGCAAATGACCCAGTTGAGTACCTGAGCAGCAAGAGAGAAGATTTCTTCCAATGTTTCCAGATTTCCTGCCAAGGAGCCACTTCTGTCACAACATTTGCTGCTTTCCTTTGTGACAAGATTGCACCAGCTCTTTGCCGTGCAGTCTATGAGAGGACAGCTAAAGCCATCGCTGAGGACATGCAGAAATCCCCAGATTTCCAGGGCAGCAGAGCCAATCTGGAAGTTTGCATCCTGAGATACCTGGCAGAACAGGAAAATTTTGAGTATTTCAGGCAGTACCTTATGTCTCCAAAAGAGTTTTGTGAGAGTTACATTGAGACACGGGTTAGGAGTCACTGTTTAGATGGGCCCAGGAGGCTGGGGATGTTTTTAGATTCCTCCCTTGATAATCTCTATAGAAACATCTTGTCAGCTGTTTCTTTATCAACCCAAATTGTCAAAGACAGAGAAGACAGAGAAGACAAAGTCTCTCTCTGGCTGGATGAGTTTTGCAGGGAACTGTCAGAGGTGCTCAGCTTGCCCAGAAGTGACCTGAAGGGCATTGAGCACCAGGAGGTCACAGACATTGAGTTCCTGAGCAGTGCCATGGCAGAAGCTCTGGATGACCTGAGGGAAAGGCTCAAGAAAGAATTGGCTGCTGCTGACCTGAGCTCATTTCCAAGGCAGCCTCACAGCATCCTGGTGGAGCATTTTGCAGGGTGCTGGGAGCAGTGTCCCTTTTGTGGCGCTGTCTGCACAAACACAATGCAGAATCATGATGGAGACCATCAGCTGGTCTTCCATCGCCCAGAAGGTTTGACGGGATGGACGTGGATTGGGACAGACCAGCTCGCCATTGATATTTGTTCCAGCGATGTTGCAAGTGACTGCAGATTCAGGATTCGTGGGAATGAAGTTTACCCCTACAGGAGATACCGGGATGCTGGACCTCCTTATTCCACTTGGAATATTCTTCCTGATCCATCCATGCAGGCGTACTGGAAATGGTTTGTGTCGCATTTCAAGACACAGCTGGAAGCTTTGTACGATGGGAAATTTCAAGGCAAAGGAGAAATCCCTGAGGCGTGGTATAGAGTTACCAAGCAGGAAGCACTGTCTGAGCTGGAGAAGCGTTAGGCCACATCCTTGGGGAGTAAGAACCACAACAGCTTTGCAGTTTAGGAGAACTTTGTACCAGGCTCTGCACAAAATGCAGTTACAATGATGATACTCTCAAGTCCAGTAAAGACAAAAGTATCCCAAATTTATGAAATAAGGTGCATTACAGCATCCATTATTCAGCAGCTCCCTTGCTTCATGAAAAAGCCAGAATCCTCTTGCCTGTTTGCCATAAACATTCCCCTCAGCTTTGTCCTAGAGCCAAACCAAACCCATCCTTGGAGCCATCAGCCTTGTGGCCATCCTGAGCCTGAGGGCAGGGACGGGGCAAAGGCAGCACTCAAAGCACCCCTTGGATCAGCTGCTGTGAGACAAGAAGGGACAGTGCCCCAGGGGCAGTTTTCCTGCAGCAAGGAGCTGCCCTGCTGGGAGAAAGGGCTGCAGGGCCTGAGGCCAGCTCCATGCTGGCTGCAAGCTGGGCTGCTTGGCTTCTGGGTGTCATCCTTCCCTCCCTCATTGCAGCCTCCTGGATCAGCTGAGGCCGTTCTCCCAGCAGGAGCCGTTGTGCCTGCGGGCTCAGGACAGCAGTGACACCACTGCCCTGGGGCTCAGGCAGTGCTTTCACTCCCTGTCTCAGGGGTGCTGTGTCTCTGTCCGGGGCAGCCGCTCCTGCTCAGCTGCCTGGGGCTGCTGCCCTTTCCTGCAGCCCTCAGCCCCAGGCGGAGCTGCTCCTGCCCTTGGCCTCTCTGCTGAGCAAAAACCTTTGGAGTGCCCCATGTGGAGAATCCTGTCTGCCAGCACCTTCCACTGCAGCCCTGGGGCAGGGCTGTGCTGCCCAGGCAGGCTGGTGGCACCAGAGCTGTGCTCTGCAGAAGGTGGCACCCGCTGGCTCTGCCCTAGGGAGCTGTGGGGGCTTTTGCTGTGCAGGTGCTGCAACCCCGCTTGGCCAAGCGAGGGCCAGGCCCTTCTGGAGAGCTGCTGAAGGGCTGCTTCAGCCTCATCCCCTGCAGGCTCTGTGTGAAAAATGCATATTACATGCTTGGCTCTTTGCAAATATTAAAATGAATGTTACATGTGTTATGTTGGAAAGTTATGCTGTATTAATCTCTTTGAAGTAGTGTGGTAAGTATAAATTTTAGGCTACAGCACAATATAAAATAGAATCTATGTGATGAAAGATACTTTTCTAAGTAGCTCAAGGAATGGATAAGAGAATCAAGAAATTCTTCCCATAGAGATAAGAGCAACAAGACACCAAAAATTGCAAGAGAAGAATTATTGCCCCCTTATTGGGAAGAACCAGACTTTGAGGGATCAAGACAATTGATTTACAAGATGCGGGGGGGAGTTGACAAGAACCAGAAAAGACTCTTTGTTTGAAAATAATTTTTGCATCATGTATGAGATATATGAATATGCAATAGGCTATTGCTTTTAAGGATTAATCCTTTGTTAGTGAGGTTTGCTTTTGCTTAGCAGAAGGAGGAAAATGTACCCAGACGTCTGTAACTCTTTGCTTTTTATTGTCTTCTATTGTCCTACTCTGATTGTCCAAATGCTTATTGCTTTAATTTGTTATTACTATTTTCATAGCTATTTTATTACTGTTAAACTTTTAAAATTTTAAAACAAGTTATTGCCTGTCACAGACATCTTTTATGAAAAATCCTTTCCTTAGGATTTTTCCTGCTGAGAAGCTGCGAGGCCTCAGGAACAAAATGTAAACATTGATTACCTGCTGCTGTGGAATGCAAAAGGTGCATCTGTGATTGGTCCCATGTTGGTTGTTTCTAGTTAATGGCCAATCACAGTCCAGCTGGCTCAGATGGAGAGTCTGAGCCACAAACCTTTGCTATCATTCCTTCTTATTCTATTCTCAGCTAGCCTTATAAGGAAATCCTTTCTTCTATTCTTTTAGTATAGGTTTAATGCAATATATATAACAAAATAACAAATCAACCCTTCTGAAACATGGAGTCAAGTCCTTGTCTCTTCCCTCAACCTGAGACCCCTGTGAACATGGTCACCATTGCCGTTTTTCACACTCTGCTAATAAAGGAGTTGATTTGGACTGCTCTGTGTCTCCTTTGTGCTCAGGGGAGCCACAGCTGGGGGTGACTCCAGCTCCGTGTGCTGCAGACAGGCAGGGGACATGGGGTGGCACTGGGAGAGGGGATGTGGCAGCAGAGACTCTGCTCCATTCAGGGTCTCTGCTCCAGGAGCAGCTTCACTGCCTGCAGGGACAGTGAGAGAGCAGGAGAAGCTCCAAACCACAACATCCAGGGAAACCAATGTCAGTGGCAGGTGCCAAGGGAGGCAGGGCTGGGCACCAAGCCTGGCCTGTCACACACGTAGAGAGCTGAGAAGGCTGATCCCAGCGAGGTGCTCTGCTCTGCAGCTGCTCTGCTGGGAACCTGCAAGAGAGGAGGGGAACGGGCCCAGACTCTGCCAAGCCCAGCCCAAGGCCAAGGAGACCCAGAGCCAGTGACAGGAGCCAGAGCTGGTGCAAGAGACGAGTGATGCTGCAAGGGCTGAGTGCCAGGTACAGCGTGTCACAGACATCTTTCATGAAAAATCCTTTCTTAGGATTTTTCCTTGTGAGAAGCTGCAGTTTCAGCAACCAAAAGGAAACAATGGCTATCTGCTGCTGTGGAATGCAACAGGTAGACCTGTGATTGGTCTCCTGTGGATGTTTGGATTTCCTGACCACTCATGGCAGAGCTGGCTCTTGCTCTCTGTCTGAGACACAGATCTTTGTTATTCATTCTTTTCTATTCTTGGCTTAGCTAGCTTCTGAAGAAACCTTTTCCTTTCTATTGCTTTTTAGTATAGTCTTAATGTAACATATATCATAAAATAATAAATCAAGCCTTCTGATCATGGAGTCAACATTCTCGTCTCTTCTTCATCCTGAAAACCCTTGTGACCACAGTCACAACAGGGGACACATGGGCTTGCTGTGTTGCTGCTGTGGTCTGTAAGAAATAACTTTGTAAGTCATTGCCCTTCACTATCATATTGGCTTTTCCAAATTATTTTGGTACGGTACAGTTTGTAATCACTTTTTAACTGCTTTTTGTGTAGTCTAATTTGTCAGCCTTTTTACCATCATCTGGGTGAAAATTATATATTTTTGTGTGATAAATATATTATAGTTTAGGCTCCTGCAAAATTCTAAAATAGAGATTATTTGCTGTGTATTATCACATTAACTGTTGCAGAAGTGACTACTGCTTTTTTTTTGTGTAACTAACTGACAGTGGTGAGAATAACTCAGATAATTGTGTGATATATCTAATATTGATTTCATGTACTCGTGGAGTATCTTATCTGTATGATAAGTTAACATTGAAAAGAACCAGGCTATCAAGAACTGTCAAACCATGGAACAGGGGGTCTGGTGAGGAAATAAAATATATAAATTTTATCTGCAGAGTGGCACATACTTGAAGAAGACGGGTCAAGTGTCAAATATGTAAATTCAAAGGAATGTTTGAATATGTATAATCCTCATGAATATGCATTTGACCAATGTAATGAACAAGTACATATGAAAATTGTTTTCAGTTAGCTGGTGTTCTTTTGGGATCCAGGGATCCAAAGTGGGAGTGGAGGTGCCCCTGGCCATGGTGCCACCTCCTGGGCTGCGTGGGGAATGTCCCAGTGCAGCTGCTGGAGTAACCTGGGGTTCCCAGTGCCACAACTGGGTGCAGTGGAGAGGACCCAGTGCAGCAAGGAGGGGGTGGCCTCAGGCCTGGGCTATCGGGAGGGTGCAGGGTCCCTCACCTGTGCCAGCTGTCCCAGCTCCCTCTCCAGTACACCCAGACCGTTCTCTGCACCTTTCCCTGTCTCTGCCAGGACTCCTTGGCCAAAGTCACCCTCAGCTGGATCATCAGGCTCCTCCTTCCTTGCAGGCCCTGCTGTGGGGAGGAGCACAAACAGATCAAAGGTCTTTTCCAACCTCAGCAATTCTTGGATGTGGTGCCTTCCAGTGACACTGGCATGAAAAATGCATATTATATGATTGGCTCTTGGCAAATATTAAAATGAATAATATATATGTTATGTTGGAACGTTATGCTGTATTAATCTCTTTTAAGTAGTGCTGTATTAAATTAAGTAGTGTGGTAAAAATAGTTTTTAGTCCATAGCATAACATTAAAATAGAAACCATGTGATATAAGATACTTTTTGTAACTAGCTCAAGGAATGGAAAAGATGGTCAAGAAATTCTTCTCATGATCCTCTCTGGATAGAGATAACAGCAAGAGACACTAAGATCCCAAGAGAAGAATTATTGCCTCCTTATTGGAAAAGCTCAGACTCCGAGGAACCAAGAAAATTGATTCACAAGATGGGGGGCGAAGCTGAAATTAAGTAGAAACACCCTTAGTTTAAAAAAATATTTAAATCATATATGAAATATATAAATATACAATAAATTATTGCTTTTAAAGGGTAATCCTTTTCTAGCAAGGTGTGCTTTTTGGCAGAGTGCCAGGCACCCGGACATCTGTAATTCTTTACTTTTTATTGCCTCTTATTGTCCTAACTTTTATTACTATTTCCACAGCAGACTGGGAAAAATGCATATTTTATGATTGGCTTTTCGCAAATATTAAAATGAATATTATATGTGTTATGTTAGAAAGTTATGCTGTATTCATTTTCTTAAGTAGTGTGTTAAATATAGTTTTATGTTATAACATAATGTTAAACTAGAAACTATGCTATGTAAGATTCTTTTTTTAAAGAGAGGAATGAGGTACTCTCACTGAGATAACAGCCACAGGACACCTAAATCTTTCAGAGAAAAATAATTTATTGCTCCCTTATCAGAAGAAACAAACTTCTTCCTGCCTTGCTCTGCCCTGGAGATGCAGTCAGGATTCAGAGGAAGCAGCTGACACTGACCAGACAGAATCCTGTGTTTGAATGGAATTTATGCATCATGGATGAGGTGTATGAATATGCAACAGGCTGTTGTTTTTAAGGGTTAATCCTCTGTTAATGGGTGTCCTTTTTCAGGCTTATTTTGCCCAGAAAAAGGTACCTGGACTGTCTGTAACTCTTTGTTTTTATTGTCTCCTATTGTCCTAATCCCAATTGTCCAAATTATTATTAGTCTAACTATATTGCTATTTATTAAACTTTTAAAATTTTAAAAAACGAAGTGATTGGCGTTTTTCACAATGAATACGTATTAGCATGCAGTATATAAGTTGTGTTTGGATCCTTTTGCCTTTGTACATGAGGCAGGGTGGGAAGCCCTCCCCGTACCCTGACCGATTGGTTTTTGCTTATGTGCTACCCGAACCACTGCCAAATTTCTTTTTGTAACAACTGAATTATATTTGATTGTATTATTCTACCCAATTAAATTTTGCTGAATTTTCTGTCTCATTAAAACTGCCGCTAATTTTTAAGTTTGTGGTTTATTAAGTTAGACATATGGGACTTGATTTATAACATGGAGATGGAAGGGCAGGTGGGGAGGCCTGAGAAGACCAATTTTGCTCTTAGTTTCCCTTCCTCCCCTTGTTCTCCCTCCCTCCCCAGAGAAGCTGTGGCTGCCCCATCCCTGGCAGTGCCCAAGGCCAGGTTGGACAGGACTTGGAGCACCTGGGGACAGTGGAATTGTCCCTGTCCATGGCAGGGGGTGGCACTGGATGGGCTTTAAGGTCTCTTCCCACACGGAATCCATGAGGACTCAGGGAGATGAGAATGGTACAGGGATACCCTTGAGCCCTTTCTGGCACCTAAAGGAGATCCAGGAGAGACTTCTTAGCAGGGCTGGTGTGAAAAATGCATATTTTATGATTGGCTTTTGGCAAATATGAACATGAATATTCTATCTGTTATGTTAAAAAGTTATATTGTATTAATAATGTTCAGTAGCATGTTAAATATAGTTTAAGGCTACAACATAATATTAAAATAAAAACTATACGATGTAAGATACTTTTTCTAACTTGCTCAAGAAATTTGTCACACTGAGATAACAGCAACAAGACACCAAAGTCCCCAAGAGGCCTCCTTATTGAAAAAGACAAACTTTACTCCACCTCCTTCACATCTTTGAGGCGCCAAGAAGATTAAGGAGGAAAGTTGACAATAACCAGAGAAATCCCTAGTTTGAAAGGAATAAATGTATCATGTATGAGATATATGAATATGCAACAGACTCTTGCTTTTATGGGTTAACCCTTTGTTAGCGAGCCATGCTTCAAGAGGAAAACATCTGAATATTCGTAATTCTTTGCTTTTATTGTCCTTTATTGTCCTAACTTTGATAGTCCAAATTCCTATTGCTCTAATTTGTATCATTATTTTTATAACCACTTTATTATGATTAAACTTTTAAGACTTTTAAAAGAAGTGCTTGGCGTTTTTCACAGGGGAGGCCTGAGAAGACCAATTTTGCTCTTAGTTTCCCTTCCTCCCCTTGTTCTCCCTCCCTCCCCAGAGAAGCTGTGGCTGCCCCATCCCTGGCAGTGCCCAAGGCCAGGTTGGACAGGACTTGGAGCACCTGGGGACAGTGGAATTGTCCCTGTCCATGGCAGGGGGTGGCGCTGGATGGGCTTTAAGGTCTCTTCCCACACGGAATCCGTGAGGACTTAGGGAGATGAGAATGGTACAGGGATACCTTTGAGCCCTTTCTGGCACCTAAAGGAGATCCAGGAGAGACTTCTTAGCAGGGCTGGAGTGCCAGGACGCGGAGAACCGCTCCACGCTGACCCAGGCCAGGCCTGGATGGTTTTTTTGGGATTTTTTTTCCCCGCTTTTCTGGCTCCCCTCACGCGTGGGGCCCTCCCGGCCGCCAGGCGGCGCCATCGCAGCGGGGCGGGGCGTGGTGACGTCACTGCCACGCCGGGTGGGCCGATGCGGCGGCGGCGGCCCCGGGAGCAGCGGGAACGGCCCCGGGAGCGGCGGGAGCAGCGGCAGCGCCGGTAGCACTGCGAACGGCGGCAGCGGCAACAGCGGGAGCGCCAGCATGGAGTACGTGAGCCCCGAGCAGCTGGCCGGCTTCAGCAAGTACAAGGTAGCGGCGCTGGTGGGGGCCGGGCTCGGGGCCTGGCGCCGTGAGGGGGGCGCTGAGGGGCGGCCGGGGCTGGGAGGGGAGGCTGGGGTGCACGGAGGAGGGGAGGCTCCAGCGGGGCCTGGAGCCGCGGTGGGATCTCCGGAGGGGCTGCAGGGAGAGCCGGGCTGTGGGGAGGGGATGTGGAGGGAGTCCGGGGGCTTGGGGCGGAGGGAGGGGCTGCAGTGAAAGCTGAGATTTAAAGGGAGCGAAGGGGAAGTGTAGGGCGGTCCGAGTGTTGGGAGGGTCTGCAGTGAGATGAGGGGTTTTGGGGTGGGGGGGTTTGCAGAGGTGTGCGGGGTTTTGGGGGACTGCAGTGAGACCTGAAACGCGGGTGTGGAAGGGATGGGAGGTGCAGTGAGCCCCAGGGTTTGGTGGCTTTGCAGTGACACCCAGGGGCTTGGGGACAGAGAGTTTGTGCTGCAGTGAGACCTGGGATGGTGGCAGGGGGCTGCAGGGGAACCTGGAGTTTGGGGACGGGGCGTTCCAGGGAAACCTGGGTTTTGGGGTGAGGCTTCAGTGAGATGTTTCAGGGTATGGAGAGATCTGCAGTGGAACCCCGGTTTGGTGGTGGCTGCAGAGAAACACAGGGTTTGGGGGGATGGTGCAGTGAAACCTGAGGTTTGTGGGCTGGGAGGCTGCAGAGAGACCCGGGGCTGTGTGGCAGAGGAATTGCAGTGAGTGAGAGCCGGGATTTGGGGGGGCTGTGGGTGCAGTGAGGACCAGTGTGGTAAAGGTGGGACCGTGTGTGACATGGGACCCCCTCTTTGCTGGAATGATCAGGCTGTGACTGGGAGCTTCTCCTCCTCCTGGGCTGGGGTCCAGGGAGGCAGTGGTGACCTGTCCCTGCACACAGCGAGCTCTGGGGCTGTGCCCCCCAGTGAAGGGACTGCAGAGGGGGCTGTGGGATTCCCTGGAGCAGGGCCAGCCCAGGAACTGCCCCCATGGAGCTCAGGACCGCCGTGCTCCTGCCCCATGGGTGCTCCCTGCAGTCACACCCATGGAACCCACATCATTCCCATCTCCTCGTGCCAAGCTGTGTCTTGTTCAATGTGCTGGGAACCTTGGAAGGAATTGCTGGAAGTGCCAGCAGGCTCTGCTGTGGCATTTAAATCCCTGGGGCCTGATTTTGGGCCAAAGTAGGCGACATCCTTAACAGGGGGGAATGCTGCATCCAGTGTTTATGTGGAGAGGAGGGTGCTTTCCATATTTGTTTCTTCTCCGATGCCAGCCATGAAGCAGAAAGGCTTCACCTCACCTTCTTTGTTTTGCTCTTGTTGTGGAACCCGTCATGTTCCAGGGTGGATTCATCCAGATTCATCCAGAAGGATTCCAGGGTGGCTCATGGAGTGTCACTTAAGAGTGGGGGCAATCAGGACAAGTCTGAGGCCTTCAGGGAGCACAGCTCCTCCTGGAGCCATCCATGGGGGCTGGGGTGGCCAGGGCTTGCTCACACTCCTCTTGCACCCTGGTGAGGTGGAGAGGAATGGATTTGGGAGAGGGACTTGGGATGATGTGTCAGGGGCACGAGATTCCCTGTGGAAGGCTGGCTGTGTGGGGGTTCATCAGGAAAATGTCTGCGTGTGTAGAAAGGCAGGGAATGACTGTGGGTTTGTGTGGGTGCTGGAGAAAGGTAATCAAAACACTCAGCTGTGAGCCAGGCCTCCCAAAGGGACTGGTTTGGCTCCTGCAAAGACAGTTCTTCTGCTCCAAGAGGGAGACTCTTGGATGTTCAGCCTGTTTCCAGTCCTGCTGGAGGGATTGGTGGGGTGGCTGCTGTCCCTCTCAGCACCTGTGCAGGGACAAGGGGATCTCCAACTTCCACACTCTTCTGGATCGTGTGGCAGGGACCACAACTGCTGCCAGGTTATTTCCTGAGGGCACCTCAGACAGAAATGCTGCTACAGTTGAATCTGGGAGCAGAAGAGGAGGAAGGTCCCACACAGCACAAAAGCATCAGCCACTCCTGTCCCCAGTTAGGCACTGCTGGGGTGCTCCCTGGCCTTGCTTTGGAGCACAGGGCTCTGAGGGAGCTGTGTCCCAAGGACAGGAGGAGCTTTGCCCCACAGCCTGTGGCTTTACTGAGTCAGCAGAGACTGGGGCAGAGGTGGGTGGGTTCACTTAGTGCTCCAAGGGCAGCGTCTGTGCCCCACTCGTGTCTCTGCCCTGCTGCCTTCCTTGCTTGCTCCGTGTCTTGTTTCCTTGGGGAGCTTTGTTCCTGGCTATTTTAGCCTTGGGAAAGTGGCTGATCCAGCACAAATCTCAGTACTGGGTCACCTATTCCAGCCTTGATTTAGGCATTGAGGCTTGGCATGCTCTGTGCCCTTTGCAGCTTCCAAAGCTGGGTTACCTTGTCAGGCTCACAAATGGGGCTGGAAGGGACCTTAAAGCTCCCACCCTTAAAGCAGGGACACCTTCCACTGTCCCAGGCTGCTCCAAGCCCGGTCCAGCCTGGTCTGGAACACTTCCAGGGATCCAGGGGCAGCCCCAGCACCTCTGGGCACCCTGTGCCAGGGCCTGGCTGTGCCTCAGCCTCTGAGCTGTGCCTGGCAGAAGCTCTCTGGCCACACACCATCGGTTTGGAGAAGAGCCAGTGGATTTGAGGGAATGTGGAGGGGGCAGCATGTCCCCAACAGGGAAGGAGCCTGTCCTTGGAGAGGAGCTGGTGTCCCAGGAGCCGACAGAGCAGGAGCAGAGGAGCTTTGTGCAGGATGATCCCCAGCCCTCTCCAGCCCTGGCTGGGTCTCTCCTGCCATGGAGTCAGGAGTGCAGATGGTTTCAGTTTGCAGTGTGCACGTTCCTGCTGGCTGGGGGTGAGGCAGGAGTGTGCTCCTGCTGTGCCAGGCTGGCAGGGGCAGGGAGGGAAGGGTTCTCTGGCTGCTGCTGGAGGCACACTGAGGAGCTCCTGAGCCCGAGGAAGCCGTGCAGCACAAGGTGCAGAGCTGGCAGAGAGGGGGTCATGGTTTAATGGTGCCAGAGAGGATTTCCTGGGGGTGCTGTGCCAGGAGCTGGACACGAGCCCAGGTGTGCCAGAGGCCACTGGCCCCTGGGCTGTGCCAGCTCTGGGGTGGCAGCAGGGCCAGGGCAGTGCCTGTCCCCTGTGCTGGCACTGCTGGGGCACCTCCAGGGCTGGGGGCAGCTCTGGGCCCCTCCTGACACGAGAGACCTGCAGGGGCTGGAGCTGGGCAGGGAATGGAGCCCCAGGAGGGGCTGAGGGAGCTGGGCAGGGAATGGAGCCCCAGGAGGGGCTGAGGGAGCTGGGCAGGGAATGGAGCCCCAGGAGGGGCTGAGGGAGCTGGGCAGGGGCTCAGCCTGGAGCAAAGGAGGCTCAGGGGGGCCCTTGTGGCTCTGCACAAGTCCCTGCCAGGAGGGCACAGCCAGGGGGGGTCGGGCTCTGCTCCCAGGGAACAGGGACAGGACAAGGGGAAATGGCCTCAGGCTGGGCCAGGGCAGGCTCAGGGTGGACACCAGCAGGAATTTCTGCATGGAAAGGGGGCTCAGGCCTTGGCAGGAGCTGCCCAGGGGGGTTTGGGGTGCCCGTCCCTGCAGGTGTCTAAGGAAGGCCTGGATGTGGCACTGAGTGCTCTGGGCTGGGGACAAGGTGGGGATCAGGCACAGGCTGCACTCGAGGGTCTGGGAGGGCTTTTCCAACCTCAGTGATCCTGGGATTCTGTGCCTGTAACACTCCTGCAGCAGGGAATTCTTTGGCTGGAGGAAATATCCCTAAACTGGGAACAGAGGGACCAAATCCTGCTCTGTGGGTGATGTGTCCCAGCCCTGCCTGGCAGCTGCTGAGGCTTCCCCTGAGGCCGCACAGATGCCAGCTGTGTCTGCTCCAGCTCTTGGGACTTGTCAGCCTGGCCCAGGGGATGGCTGGTCCTGGCAAGCTGGAGGTCTCAGTATCCAATCTCCAGTGCTTGTTTTGAGGCCATGGAGCTGGATTTGTGTGTCCACATGCCAAGGGAGAAGCAATCCAGGCACCCTGCTCTGGTTGGGTGTTGAATGTCCTCTGCCAAACCCCAGTGCTCTGTTACTGTCAGGTGTGGGGTGTTCCCTGCCAAGACAGCTGCAGCCAGGCACTGCTATTTCTGAGTGGAAGCTTGCAGTTGGATGCCAGAGGTCAGGTTCTTAACAGCTGTCTGCAGATTGCCTCGTGGCCAGCCTCTGGGCAACCTCCTTCTGTAAATGTATGGGAGAGTGTGAAATTGGGCCCTCAGCAGTGTTCACAGAGGTGTCTGTGCTGCTTTGCTTCCTCTGCTGCACAGGGACTTTGGACATGGGTCTGGAGGGACAGGAGGCAGGGAATGGCTCCCAGTGCCAGAGGGCAGGGCTGGATGGGATCTTGGGAATGAGGAATTGTGCCCTGGCAGGGTGGGCAGGCCCTGGCACAGGGTCCCCACCCTGGATCCCTGGCAGTGCCCAAGGCCAGGCTGGTTGGGGCTGGGAGCAGCCTGGGACAGTGGGAGGTGTCCCTGCCATGGCAGGGCTGGCACTGGGTGGGCTCTGAGATCCCTTCCCACCCAACCCATTCCATGGATCACTGTTTCTATGGGCTGCAAGGGCAGCTCAGGCTCATACAGACTGTGCCCCTGCAGGAGTGTCCCCTGTGCCAGGGGAGGCTGTCACAGCTCCAGCCATGTCCCACAGCTCCAGCCATGTCCCACAGCTCCTGCTGTGTCCCACAGCTCCTGCTGTGTCCCACAGCTCCAGCCGTGTCCCACAGCTCCAGCCGTGTCCCACAGCTCCTGCCGTGTTCCACAGCTCCTGCTGTGTCCCACAGCTCCCCTGCCACAGCCACAGCAGCTGTTTCCAGTGAGGGCATCCCCTGCATCCCTGGCAGTGCCCAAGGCCAGGCTGTACACTGGGCTTGGAGCAGCCTGGGGCAGTGGCAGGTGTCCCTGCCATGGCACTGGATGGGCTTTAAGGTCCCTTCCCATCCAAGCCAGTCTGGGATTTGATGATTC